TCAGAGCTAATATCCCAAAGTGGACATGATAAAGTGACAGACTAGCACTCACTCTAAGAAATGATTTTCTAAGTTGAGCTTTTTAATAATGAAGCATATGCCCTTCTAGAGTGAAGAACATCTCACTGTTGGTAACAAAACAGAGCAGGGAGCCATTTGATCTGAAGAAGACTTTTCTGCTATGTCTGCTCTGAGATAAAGACATAACCTTCTGACTTGTAAGTTCCTCCCCACATCCCAAGTTGTACAATTATTTGTTTCCAAATGGCTGGGAAATGATGAAACAAAACTTCTTTTCTAGTCTTCTTCCTTCCTCCTTTAATGAATAATTCACCTCACATTAAATTATCCTTCCTAAGATCTAAGTTGTTATACCAGTTTTTGTTTTGTTTGTTTTGTTTTAGACGTGAATACATTACTAGCTTCCTAGTCAGTTTGAACTTAAAAGCCAATTTTTACAAAATTCCCAGCAGAGGTGCCAAATATTGATTCAGTGATTGCCAGACCAAATGTGTGTCTTGTGCTGATCTGTACTAAAGTATATTTTAGGAGTCAAACTGGATTTAAAGGAGCTTTTAAAAAATATTTTGGATTGGTCTAGGTATTGCTGTTGCTGAGAATGACTCTTCTTGTGAGACATTATTGTTTTGTTGTCAGAAATACTGTCACCAAAGGCAAATATAATACAGAATATTTGAAATGACGTGGAAAGGCATCACAAAGGGCAACAGTCTACCACCACATACAAATCTCGTTAGGCACAAAATAAAATGCTGTAAAGGTCTTGTATGACATGATCTGAACTGGGTATAATCAACAGTCGATTAACAGAAAAATTCACTAAAATAATACACACACGTATCTTGAACATTGTGGCTTACTTTCAAATATCTAAATATACTCTTTTTAATGTAGGGCCAAAGCTTTTTGAAAATATATGTTTTATTTTTAGCATGGGACTGCTGATTACAGTGACACATCTTTTTTTTTTTTTTTTTTTTTTTTTTCAAAAACTACATCCATAATTCATGGTCTATGACTTCTAAGCTTGAGTTTCTTTAAAGTGAATCAAGGACTTCAAAACGCATAGAGAGCAATTAGAGCGCAGACTCTTAGGCATTGCGATTTTCTTTTGCCAATCTTTTATAGCTGCCTCCCCACAGAAATCAACAGCTATTTCTACTACTTACCCTTTTTCAATCTTCGCAACGTGTTCAACTTAGTTTTTGAAGAAATGACGACACTTTTTTTATGCTAATTTTTTTAATACAAATCAGTTTATTCACTAGTTTGGAAAACGTATTCACCAATTTGGATAATTAAAATAATAAGTACAATGGACAGACATCAGTCTGGGCACACATAACGATGCTTGGTGTATTCATAAAGCATGACTGGAGGGAGTAGATGTGCCCAGGGCATACTGGGAGCGGCCTACCAACTACCTGCCTGGGTCACTGTGTTTTACAGAGGGCATGAAAAGCATGGCTCAGTCTAGAGAGTGTGGTAAGAGGAATTGTTTTTTGTTTCTGCTTCTTTTTTTTTTTTGAGACGGAGTTCCGCTCTTGTTACCCAGGCTGGAGTGCAATGGCGCGATCTCGGCTCACTGCAACCCCCGCCTCCTGGGTTCAGGCAATTCTCCTACCTCAGCCTCCTAAGTAGCTGGGATTACAGGCACACACCACCATGCCCAGCTAAGTTTTTGTATTTTTAGTAGAGACGGGGTTTCACCATGTTGACCAGGATGGTCTCGATCTCTTGACCTCGTGATCCACTCGCCTCGGCCTCCCAAAGTGCTGGGATTACAGGCTTGAGCCACTGCGCCCGCCCTGTTTCTGTTTCTTAAGAGCACCACTATAATGTTCCAAAACACAACACAGGGTTTATGCCGTGGTTGCAGCTAGCCCATAGGGTGCCTCTGTGTGCATTAGAAAAAAGTAACCCACAAGCTCAGGGTTTGGTGAGGGAAGCAGGGGCTAGATTTCAGTCTTCATTGGTCCACTTGGCAGGGCTCCACTTAAGCCAGACCTTTTGTGTAGGGCACAACCCTCGGAACGGACACAGCTGCCTTTGCTCCTGTGACAGCAGATGGATTATGATTAGGGGAAGGGGGAGAGAGAAGATGATCTGCATTCATGCATGAAAAGATGGAGCAGGAAGGAGGCAGGAGAGCTGATCTGTGGGGCAGGAAGGCTTTGCTCCTGGAAGAAACGCCAATAGAAGGTTTTGTGACAGCATATACAGATCATCTTGCCTAACCAACTGGCAGATTGTCCTTGCTGGGGGATAAAGTTCTGTAGCAAAGCAGCTGGTGTATTCTGTATGAATTTTCCCACAATTTCCTGGACCGTTTCCTTTTCCATCTCCTCTACAACTACTATTCCCAGTTAGGCCAAGAAGGTCACCCAGGCTACTTTAAGAACTCTCTTTACTGACCTTGGAGGCTTTTCTTTTCTTTCTTTCTTTTTTTTTTTTTTTTTGAGACGGAGTTTCACTCGTTACCCAGGCTGGAGTGCAATGGCGCGATCTCGGCTCACCGCAACCCCCGCCTCCGGGGTTCAGGCAATTCTCCTGCCTCAGCCTCTCGAGTAGCTGGGATTACAGGCACGCGCCACCATGCCCAGCTAATTTTTTTGTATTTTTAGTAGAGACGGGGTTTCACCATGTTGACCAGGACTCGATCTCTTGACCTCGTGATCCACCCGCCTCAGCCTCCCAAAGTGCTGGGATTATAGGCGTGAGCCACTGCGCCCGGCCGCCTAGCCAATTTTTAACATTTTTTGTAGAGATATGCGGTTTCACTAGGTTGCCCAAGCTAGTCTCAAACTCCTGGACTCAACACTTTGTTGAAATTATAGGTGGGAACCACCACACCCAGCAATGTTTGTTTTTCTTTTCCTGACTTATTTTGTTTAACATAATGACCTTCAGTTTCATCTATGTTGCTGCAAATGCCAGGATTTCATTCTTTTTCAAAGCTGAATAGTACTCCATTGTGTATATATACATTTTCTTTATCCATTCATCCACTGATGAAGACAGGTTGCTTCCATATCTTAGCTATTGTAAATAGTACTGCAATAAGCATGGAGGTGCACATATCCTATTGATATACTGATTTCCTTCCCTTTGGATAAATATTCAGTAATGGGATTACTAAACCATACGGTAGTTCTATTTTTAATTTTTTGAGAAAACTCCATACTGTTTTCTGTAATGGTTATACTGGCTTACATTCCTACCAACGGTGTATAGGAGTTTTCTTTTTCTACACGCCCATTAACATCTGTTGTTTTGTCTTGCTGATAATAGCCATTACAACTGCAGTGAATGATTTCTCATTGTAGTTCTGATTCGTGTTTTCCTGATGATTAATGATACTGTACATTTTTCTTACAGCTTTTAGCCATTTACATATCTGCTTTTGAGAAATGTCTATTCAGATCTTTTGCCCACTTTTTAGCAGGATTATTTATTTTTGCTGTTAAATTGTGTGAGTTCCTTGTAAATTACGGATATTAGGCCCTACTCGGATGAGTAGTTTGCAAATAGTTTTTTTCTATTTTACAGGTTGTCTCTTCAATCTGTTGTTTCCTTTGCTGTGAAAAAGTCTTTAGCTTAATATAGTCCCATTTGTCTAGTTTTGCTGTTGTTGCCTGTGTTTTCAAGGTCTTAGCGATAAAATCTTTGTCTAGACTGATGTCCCGTTTTCTTCTAGTAGTTTTATAGTTTCTGGTCTTAGATTGAAGTCTTTAAAACAATTTGAGTTAATTTTTATATAGGGTGAGACAGGAGTCCAGCTTTATTCTTCTGCATATGGTTACCCAGTTCCCAGCACCATTTACCAAAGATAATGTCCTTTTCCCAAAGTGTTTAGTGCCCTTGTAAAAAATCAATTAGCTATAAATATATGATTTACTACTCAGTTCTCTCTATTCTGTTCCAGTGGTCTATGTGTCTGGTTTTATACCAATTCTATGCTGTTTTGGTTACTATAGTTTTGTAGTGTATATTAAAGTCAGGTAGTGTGATGCCTCCAGCTTTGTGCTTTTTGTTTAAGTCCTGTCTGCTTTGGCTATTCAGGGTCTTCTGTGGTTCCATATTTTTAGAATTAAACCAACAAAAAAAAACTGGCCAGGCATGGTGATAAACGTCTGTAATCCCAGCACTTTGGGAAGCCACGAGGTCAGGAGTTCGAGACCAACCTGAACAACATGGTGAAACCCCATTTCTACTAAAACTACAAAATTAGCTGGACATGGTACTGAAGCCTATAATCCCAGCTACTTGGAAGTCTGGGAGGCAGAGGTTGCAGTGAGCTGACATAGTGCCATTGTACTGCAGCCTGGGCAATGGAGCGAGACTACACTGTCTCAGAAAAAAACAAACAAACACACCAAAAGCCAACTGTGAAGAATGTCATTGGTATTTGACAGGAATTGCATTAAATCTGTAGGTTGCTTTGGGTAGTATGGTGATTTTAGCAATATTAATTATTTTGACCCATGAGCAGGGGATGTCTTTTCGTTTGTTTGTTTCCTCTTCAATTTCTTTCATTAGTGTTTTGTAGATTTCCCTGTAGAGGTCTTTCACCTCCTTGGTTAAATCTATTCCTAGATGTTATTTTTGTAGCTATTGTCAATGGGATTGCTTTCTTGATTTTCTCTTCAGCTACTTTATTATTGGTCTATAGAGCACTACTGATATTTGTATGTTGATTTTGTATCCTGTAACCTTACTGACTTTATCAGTTCTTAGAGTTTTTTATTGGAGTCTTTGGGTTTTCTTTTATATATATAATCATGTCGTCTGCAAAGACAACTTGACTTCCTCTTTTCCAATGCGGATGCCTTTTTTATTTTTTTCTTTCTTTCTTTCTCTTGCTTAACTGCTATGGCTAGGACTGCATTTTGACTTTCTAGGGAGGAAAAATACCTTTTTCCTTCTACCCAATAGAGTCTATGGCTGAGGCCCTGGAAATTAAACAGACAAAACATAGATTAACAAGAGGAAAATACAATTTAATTTTGTACATACACATGGGAGTATCACTAAAAAAAGAGACTCAAGGAGATCCAGATTGAGGCTTATATACCATCTTAGGCTAAACAAAGAGAAAGGGGTTTGGGGCTTCTCAGAGGACAAGTCCTGAGAAAGTGAGGCGAGAAATGTATACTCGTATGTAAATAAGAGTTATGTAGATAAGAGTGTCTCAGGTGATGGGTTATCTCCAGGCCTAGCCCTGTTTCTGGTGCAGAGGAATCTTCACGAAGAGAAATTTCCTTTATAAATGTAAATTTCCTTTACAGAAGGGGAAATTTATATTCTGCTTTTAGGCAGTAAGAGGATGGGTGAAGAGCCTTTCCTGTGTGTGCTGGTTCTCAATTGCTTTTAGCTCAAAATAGTCCATATGTCGGGTGGCATATTCTGGAACTCTTTATCCCACCCTTTGAAACTTTCTTCTTCTCAGGAGGTTTCATATATCAAAAGCCAAGTTTGTAGCTGTTGAGAGAGATTCGGATTAGGTGTTGCAAGATAAGAGATCTGCAAAGGGAAGGAAAACAGATTGGAACAAGGGTGAGTAAGCAGAAAAGACAAATTTAAACACGTTGCCCCATCTCCCTGAATTAGTCTCTCAGTCCTGGGAAAAGCTCACATTCCTGCAACAGTGTATGAGAGTTCAGTTTACGCAGACAGGCGCACCTCATCTGAAGAAATCGTGTTGCCAGAAGGAATAGGGTGCCCACCTAGGTTAGATCTCTATCTGGTGCTATGAGGCATTTAATAAGGGGCATTTCTAAGGAAACAAAAGAAGCCAAAGGTTAATGGATAGAACTGTTTATAAACCCAGTTTCTGAGGCCAGGGGGCATTCGGTTGAGAAAATTTCTGGATGTCGGGCTCAAAGCTTCTCTAGGTGGTGGAAGGAGGACAGGCCATGGCAGTCTGAGGTATTTCCGGGTTTGTGGTTTGGATGTCTCTGGGGATGGCACATACAATGTGACAGTTGTGATTATTTATCAGAGCAGAGCACGGAAGGGCCCAGTTTCAGCTTGCAGGGCTTTTTCTGGGCAGTGTCACTATGGATCTGGGCAGTCAGGTTTTAGTGCTCAGTGGTGCCAGATCAAGTGAGATTAAAATCAGAAATGTTAATTACTGACAAAATGCAAAACATAACAGGAGACAGTTTACAGAGTTTAAAAAAGCTGAAAGACAGTGAACATGGCTAGGATTTGACAGTCCATAAGGGTGTGCTATAGTTTCCAATTAAAACATATTTCTCCCTACCGTCACCCTTATTTCTATGAAAGATAATCAAAGTGAGACTATTTTTGTTCGCAAAATAAGTCTAACCTCATTGAGCTTGGCCTGATTATTACATAAATATAGCAAAAATAATGATTGACAATATATGCTCTTTTTAAGTTCGTTTTGTTGGAACTTTTAATAAGGAATCTCAGGTTAGACTGTTAAAGTCTATCAAAGCTAGGAAACCAATCCATCAGCCTTCATCAGCAATACCTACAGATCTGGGTGAATTCCTTTCTTCCTGAGGTCCCCAAAATATATTAAGCTTCCTGGGCCTACCAAGAACCGACTTTCCTTACTCACATGTTAGGTTGGGAACCTTATTAACAGGTACCAGGCCAGTATTTCAAGGGTCTTTGTAAGCACTGGCTTCAGAAAGTCAGCATTAGTTCTGTACTGGAAAGGATCCCATTCTAGACCCCAAGAGTGGGTTCTTTTTTTTTTCTCTCTCTCTCTTCACTTTTTTTTTTTTTTTTGGTAGAGTTGGGGTTTTACCATATTGGCCAGGATGGTCTCAATCTCTTGACCTCGTGATCCACCCGCCTCGGCCTCCCAGAGTGCTGGGATTACAGGCGTGAGCTACCGCACCCAGCCTTTTTTTTTTTTTTGAGACAGAGTCTTGGTCTGTTGCTGGTGCCAGGCTGGAGTGCAGTGGCGCATCTCGGCTCACTGTAACCTCCGCCTCCCGGGTTCAAGTAATTCTCCTGCCTCAGCCTACCAAGTACCTGGGGCTATAGGCGTGCACCACCACGCCCAGCTAATTAGGAGGCTGAGGCAGAACTGCCTGAACCCAGGAGGCGGAGGTTGCGGTGAGCTGAAGATCGCGCCATTGCACTCCAGCCTGGGTAACAAGAGCGAAATTCCGTCTCAAAAAAAAAAAGAAAGAAAGAAAAGAAAGTAAAGGAATGAAAGAATGGCTACTCCATAGGCAGAGCAGCCCCAGCACTGCTGGTTATTTCTTGATGATATGCTAAACAAGGGCTGGGTTATTCATGCCATCTCTTTTTAGACCATATAGGGTAACTTCCTGATGTTGCCATGGCATCTGTAAACTGTCTTGGTGCTGGTGGGAGTGTAACATGAAGACGACCAGAGGTCACTCTCATCGCCATCTTTGGTTTCGGTGGGTTTGGGCCAGCTTCATTACTGCAATGTTTTATCAGGAAGATTTTTATGACCTGTGTCTTGTGCTGACCTCTTATCTCATCCTATGACTTGAATGCTTTATCATGTGGGAATGCAGCCCAGTAGGTCTCAGCCTCATTTTACCCAGCCACTATTCAAGATGGAGTTGTTCTGGTTCAAGTGACTCTGATAGTTCCTTAAAACTGTCTGATCTTATCTGATTTTATGTATATCATCTTAAAATATGATATTCCAGTGAAATCCTTTTAAATATAAGCAATATTTCAAACTGCATTCTGTTACAAGGACAAGAGATTCTTATTGAACATACGTAAATACATCCCCATGAAAATAAGAATATTCAATAAAGATTTCTGAATTCCGGAAAGTTTAGGTGGGAAGAAAAAGTGAACGTTTCTGGCTGGACACAGTGGCTGAGGATCCCACACTTTGGGAGGCTAAGGCTAGAGGATCGCTTTCAGCCTGGGCAACACAGTGAGATCCTCATCTCTTAAAAAAAAAAATTAGCTGGGCATGGTGATGCACATTTGTAGTCCCAGCTACTTGGGAAGCAGAGATGGGGGCATTGCTTGAACCTGGGAGTTCAAGGCAGCAGTGAGCTGTGATCTCACCACTGCACTCCAGCCCAGGTACCAAGTGAGACCCTGTCTCAAAAAAGGTAAATGTTTCATCTTTGCTTACAAAGGCCTACTTTACCAAGTTACTGTAAGTTACAGATAGCTTAAGAAAACAGAGAAAAATAGTTTCTTAAATGTAGAAAAGAACCAGCAATGTTTCAAAGAAAAGGGCTATATATATTAGACTTATTCTTATCAGTTCGTTCAATCTCACGGAATTAATTCTGGTTCTTGATGTTGGATTTGCAGCTTTATGAATTCATGTTTCTTCTTAGTGTTTTGGCAATCTTACCCAACCCAGTGGCATGATCTTAAATACCTGAGAATACCTCTCTGGATCCTTCCCATGGTCTTCTTGGAGATGAAGCATTTTTACTTGATTGCAAAAGCATTCAGAGAAGAATTATAAAACAATAATTGGTTGTGAATGACAAAAGACTTAAAAATAACTGTGATTAAAGATCTGAGGAGAGTTCATTATAGTGCAATTAACAAGGAGATTTGGTTATTTCTGTGGTGTACAGCATTCCATAATAACTGTTTATGCCTGATAACACTTTATCAGGACATACTAACAGCAAAGATTGATGAATATCCAGGAACTTTATACAGTTTTTGAAACACATATTAATTACATACCTATACAAATATAAAAAAGGTTAAGCATCATGTTTTAGTTGGCAATTATTCTCACGTAATTTAGCATTTCAAATAAATCTAATTGGTGTAACATCTCTCTTTTTCAAGGTGAGAAAGCAAACCTTTGAGATTTTCAAGCAGTGTTCTGTGGAACATCAAAGTTGGTTCAAAGTGAAAAAGACTGGGGCTGGTGCAGTGGCTCATGACGATAATCCCAAAACTTTGGGAGGCTAAGGCAGGCAGATCGTTTCAGGTCAGGAGTTCAAGATCAGCCTGGATAACACGGTGAAACCCCATCTCTACCAAAGATACAAAAATTAGCCAGATGTGGTGGTGCATGTCTGTAGTTCCAGCTAGTCAGGAGCCTGCACTGGAAGGATCACTTGAGTCTGGGCAGTCAAGGCTGAAGTGAGCCAAGATCGCGCCACTGCCACTGTACTCCAGCCTAGGTGACAGAATGAGACGTTGTCTCAACAAACAAACATACAAACAAACAAACAAACAAACAGCAACAACAACAAAAGTAAAAAAGACTGCAGAATCAGGCTGGGCAGAGTGGCTCATGACTGTGATCCCAGTTCTTTGGGAGGCCAGGGTGAGAGGAACTCTTGAGGCCAGGAGATCAAGAACAGCCTGTGCAACACAGGGAGACCCCTGTCTCTACAAAAAACTTAGAAAAGAAAATTGTAAAAGGCTTTAAAATTTGATTTGGGGAAGACTATCAAACATTTCAAAAGGTTTGAACCCTTGATAAAAAGAGGATAACAGGTAACTATGAAACAATACTTTGTTATCTATTTAACCAAGGGGAAAATTATTTTAAAGGTAAATGAAGAAGGTCACGTAATTGTAAAAAACCAAACCCAGGCCAGGCGCAGTGGCTCACGCCTGTAATCCCAGCACTTTAGGAGGTGGAGGCGGGTGGATCACGAGGTCAAGAGATTGAGACCTTCCTGGTCAACATGGTGAAACCCCGTCTCTACTACAAATACAAAAAATTAGCTGGGCATGGTGGCGCGTGCCTGTAATCCCAGCTACTCAGGAGGCTGAGGCAGGAGAATTGCCTGAACCCAGGAGGCGGAGGTTGCGGTGAGCTGAGATTGCACCATTGCATTCCAGCCTGGTAACAAGAGTGAAACTCAAAACAAAAAAACAAAAAACAAAAAAACCCAAACCCAAAACAAAACCTTAGCTTTTTCCATACCGAGAAGACTCTTCTGAAGTTATGACATATTTTTAAAGATTTGGGGTCTTGCTTTGTCACCCATGCTAGTGTGCAGTGCTGTGATCATAGCTCGCTGCAGCCTCAAACTCCTGGGCTCCTCCTGCCTCAGTCTCCCAAGTAGCTGGAACTACAGTGGGAAATTATTTTTGATAAGTCGCAGAATCTTTGCTTCCTAGGCAAAGTACTCAACAGATAAAGAAACGCTTTTACATTCTCTTATTAGTATCAAACCAACAATCCAAATTCCAGTTCTGCATCAGCACACTATTGATTAGAGTTTATTTTTAAACATTATAGGCTGGGCGCAGTGGTTCACGCCTGTAATCCCAGCACTTTGGGAAGCCGAGGCTGGCGGATCACGAGGTCAAGAGATCCAGACCATCCTGGCCAACACGGTGAAACCCCGTCTCTACCAAAAAAATACAAAAATTAGCTGGGCGTGGTGGCGTGCACCTGTAGTCCCAGCTACTCAGGAGGCTGAGGCAGGAGAATTGCTTGAACCTGGGAGGCAGGGGTTGCAGTGAGCGGAGATTGCACCACTGCACTCCAGCCTGGCACCTGGAGACAGAGCAAGACACTGTCTCAAAAACAAAACAAAACACATGTTATAATAAATCCATTTAATTTTATTATTTAGTTTAATTTTTTTTTAAGAGACGAGATCTAAGTCTGTTGCCCAGGTTGGAGTGCAGTGGCACGATCATAGCTCACAGCAGCCTTAAACTCCTGGGCTCAAGGGATCCTCCCACCTTGGCCTCCAGGGTAGCTGGGACTAGAGGGACATGCCACCACGTCTGGCTAATTTACAGGGTCTCAGGTCTCTCTACATTGTGCAGGCTGGTCTCAAACTCCTGGTCTAAAGTGATCATCCTATCTTAGCCTCCCAAAGTGCTGGGATCACAGGCCTGAGCCACAGCACCCAGTCCCATTTATTTTAGACATTTGATCACATAAAATTCTCTGTCTCCCTCCTTTGACAATTTCCTATACCTGCCTAGGTTTTGGCCTTTATTTTCCTCTTTCTCACTCTGAAATAATCTTTAAATAACGTTAAACTACTGTAGGACAAAATTACCCTTATTTTTCCTTAACACAAATGCATCCTTCAAACCTCATACTATTCCTTGCCAAAACACATCTTCCTTTTTTTAAATTTTATTTTACTTTAAGTTCTGGGATTCATGTGCAGAACGTGCAGGTTTGTTACATAGGTATCCACGTGCCATGGTGGTTGCTGCACCCATCCACCCATCATCTGGGTTTTAAGCCTCACATGCATCAGGTGTTTGTCCTAATGCTCTCCCTCCCCTTCCCCCCACAACCCCCAACAGGCCCTGGTGTGTGATGTTCTCCTCCTCATGTCCAATACATCTTACTTTCTTTGCATACTTTGCAGGCAGACTTTTCTCCTTCACCCTGATTATTCCTAATAGTTCACTTATGTATATTGATTAGAGTTTTAATAATTAATACCTTAATTTCCAGTGAAAACAAGGAAGTAGGCAATTGTGAGCTGTTATACATAGAAGCATTCTGCGGATGAGCGCATTTATGAATACACCCTTTCACAATTTCCAGAGCCACATGCTTCCTCACAGTATCCTTTTTCAGTGTAGCAAGAAGACTATGTTGACTAACAAACTCAAATATTTTTTAGTCTCTCTGTAAAAAGAAGCCAAATATAGATAAACTTACGTTACGTAATTAACATTTCAGTATTATATCTTATTTAGAAATGATCAAATATGAAATGACTATACTTCATTTAACTTAACTTTCCATATCTTTGAGGTTTTAGGTTACCAAAAAGATTGTGGATACTATATTTAAGCGGACGTATTATAAAACATAACTGTTGTTGAAAGATCAGCTATAGGCCGGGCGCGGTGGCTCACGCCTGTAATCCCAGCACTTTGGGAGGCCGAGGCGGGTGGATCACGAGGTCAAGAGATCGAGACCATCCTGGTCAACATGGTGAAACCCCATCTCTACTAAAAATACAAAAAATTAGCTGGGCATGGTGGCGTGTGCCTGTAATCCCAGCTACTCAGGAGGCTGAGGCAGGAGAATTGCCTGAACCCAGGAGGCAGAGGTTGTGGTGAGCCGAGATCGCACCATTGCACTCCAGCCTGGGTAACAAGAGCAAAACTCCATCTCAAAAGAAAAAAAAGAAAGATCAGCTATAGTGTTTTGTCCCACTTACATCTATTTAATTTACTTGCTTCTAACAATTACGCTAGGATTATCGATGAAAATTTCATGCAACATTAAATAAAGCCAGTCATCATTTATAGTTTATTTTCTTGTTAACAAATTTGTGACAGGCATGAGAGGTAGATACCAGAAATCACAGAAGTAAAGAACCTAAAATTTAATTGTATTGCTCTCTCTTTCCCTCTTAACTGCCATCTTTGATGTACAACAAACAATTCATTTTTATTGTACATTTTATTCTTAGGTTGAATTATAATTTCATAATCTGGGCCGGGCGCGGTGGCTCACGCCTGTAATCCCAACACTTTGGGAGGCTGAGGCAGGTGGATCACGAGGTCAAGAGATCGAGACCATCCTGATCAACATGGTGAAACCCCGTCTCTACTACAAATACAAAAAATTAGCTGGGCATGGTGGCACATCTGTAATCCCAGCTACTCAGGAGGCTGAGGCAGGAGAATTGCCTGAACCCAGGAGGTGGAGGTTGCGGTGAGCTGAGATCGCGCCATTGCACTCCAGCCTGGGTAACAAGAGCGAAACTCTGTCTCAAAAAAAAAAAAAATTCATAATCTTAAACATCTAATAGAGATAACATCAGCTTATTTGGCTAGTAAATCCAAGTAGAATAAAATTGTATGTCTGCATTATATTGAATGCTGACAAATCTGGAGAAATACCTATTTGTATGTAACTAACAATATTGAACTAGCTGTATTTACCAAAGATTACCCCAGAGCAAGTGAATTTGAAAGCAAATTTTGGGTTAATTTCTACTTTTCTGAGAGTTTTAATAATACTTAATGTATCTTTTTTTTTCTTAGCCAATTAATGCAGAGTTTTTTGATAAATTTTGGCAATACCATCCAGAGGTAGAAAAAATCAATATACAAAACACACATATAAGCTTATGTAAACACACAGACCGATGCCAATAGAAATCTCATAGCTTTCATTTTAAACTTTTAACTATGAGTCAGGCATAATATTACAAAACTCACTAATTTATGTAAAATAGTTGGATCCACTTTGTGTTCTTGGCAGATGGAACACAAGGTAACCTCCTAATTAAGGTAACCTTCTAAATAATGGCTACTACTTTTCACCAATATTTGTAGGGAAGATGATATGGTTTGGATCCGCGTCTCCACCAAATCTCATGTTCAACTATGAACCCAAGTGTTGGAGACAGTGCCTGTTGGGAAGCGATGGTTTAGCAGCATCCCCTCCGCGCTGTTCTTGTGATAGTGAGTTATGAGATCTGGTTGTTTTAAAAGTGTGTAGCACACATCCCCCCCACCCCATCTTCCCCCTGCTCTGACCATGTAAGACTTACCTTCCCCTTCACCTTCTGCCATGATTGTAAGCTTCCTGAGAGGCCTCCCCAGAAGCAGAAACAGCTATGCTTCCTGTACAGCCTGCAAAACCACAAGCCAATTAAATCTTTTTTCTTTATAAATTACCCAGTCTTGAATATTTCTTTATAGCAATGTCAGAATGAAATAATACAGAAGACTTTTAAGATTTTTGTCTATTTTGCTTCCAAATTGTTCTTAATTTTTTATTTGCTTTTCCTGCAGTCTGATTTTCCTATTGGTACCAGTAGGAGATTTGTTTTAGGGGGCGAGCTCTCTTAGAAAAAATCCTTTTGGATATAAAGTCCACGTTTTCGAAGGTATACCTAGTCCAATGTGACTCTAAACCAATCAGCCTTTTTATGGCTTAACCATAGACACAAGAGATACCCCAAAGAGGGTTCAAAGGAGGAAGTACCCATTCCTTACTCCCAAAGGTAGCCTGAAAAGCTAAGAAATTCATTGTCACGTCAATAAGGAAACTACAGTCTCCCATGAACTTAAGGTGCCTTCGGGCCGGGCGCAGTGGCTCACGCCTGTAATCCCAGCACTTTGGGAGGCCAAGGCGGGCAGGTGGATCACGAAGTCAAGAGATTGAGACCATCCTGGTCAACATGTTGAAACCCTGTCTCTGCTAAAAATACAAAAAAATTAGCTGGGCATGGTGGCGCGTGCCTGTATTCCCAGCTACTCGGGAGGCTGAGGCAGGAGAATTGCCTGAACCCAGAAGGCTGAGATCACGCCATTGCACTCCAGCCTTGGTAACAAGAGTGAAACTCTGTCTCAAAAAAAAAAAAAAAAAAAAAAAAAAAAAAATTGAGGTGCCTTGGATCACAGACTCACTAATCTGTGATATCAGGTAGGTAATACTGGGGTGGTACATTTCCCAGCACAAACAAGGCAACCAAGATTGACAATAAAGGCCCCTGATGGACTTGGGGCCCCTTATTAAGGCAAACTCCCCTGACAGCTAGAAGATTGGTCAGACAAAATGCTGCTTGTTCATTTCATGCTTTGGTTTCCTAACCTACTGGCTAGCCACCCAATGCAGGCCTGACAACCTTGCCCTCTCGGCTGGCAGAAACCAGACTGGTTACCAGAGACCATAGTAGTTACAAAGCTAAACCCTCAAAACACAAAATGAGACAAAAGAAGAATCTCATCCAGTTTTTTTTTTCCATTGCTTATCCACAGCAAAGTTTGTCTATATGCTCTAGCATAAACTGTAAACTCATCAGTCTGTGAAGCTGGCTTAAACAACAGGCTTACAGGGCCTATGCCTGTAACTCTGACAACTCTCCAAAACTGTGACTCTTCTCCTTAAAATAAATCACACAAAGACAGAAACAAAGGAAAACAATGACTCTTCTTAGGAAGCTAAAGATCGGTAACCAGTGAGTGCTCAAAACCACATTTACAAGTCACCACCCAAAGAACCAATTTTACCGATATTTTTCTCTTGCTAATGCAAATTTGGAAAGGAAAAGACCAAGAGAATTCTGCCATCTCTTCAGCCAGAGTCCACCTACAGAAATCCAGCCGGCCAACTTTAGTAAGAACTTTTGCCTTTTGCCGGCTTTGTTAGAGATCCTGGAACTCACCTTTAGCTTCCGGAGCAAGTGAGGTGTCCTTGCTTACCTGTCAAAACGCGTGGTGAGGAAGACTACTTTACTTCCTTCTTCTCTCCTAGGTTCCATGACTGGGGCCCTGGAGATTAAACTGACAGAAGACAGACAAACAAGAGAAGAACATTTAAATTACATACCTCTGCACGGAAGTTTCACAACGAACTGAGGCTCAAGGAGGCAGCCAGACGATTGAAGCTTCTGGACCATCTTAGGCTGAGCAGAGAGAAAGGAGTTTGGGCTGCTGAGGGAAGGAGGAAAGTTCTGGGAAGGTGTGGGGATGAAATGCGTAGTAAATAAGGGTTGTGTTGTTATGCAGGTATGTCTCTCAGGGGTAGCTACTGTTTCCAGGAGCAGCTCTCTTCCCTTACAAATGGAAATTTCCTTTATAAATGTAAATTTTCTGTACAAAAGGGGAACTTTATAGTTTGTGTTAGGTGATTAGGGGGAGGTAAAGAGCTTTTACTTGGTCTGCTGGTTCTCTATTGCCTTCAGCTCCAAATAACCTATGTGCCAAAATGACATATTTTGGGGTTGCATATTTTAGTATGCTTCATTTCAGGAAGAATTATTTTTTCCTTGTGGAGCTTTTTCCCCCAGATAATTGTTTTTTAATTTTTAAATTATTATTCTCTTCTGTTGGTGAAGCTCTCCTTTGAAATTGTTTTTTGTTTACTTTTTTTTATTGTTAATAATATCTCAGGCAATCTTGAGAAGCTGCCTCTTCTTTTCTCCACCTCTTTTTTTCCTCAAATAAATAAATCTGAATAAGACATCTTTTATAATTTCTAATTAAAAAAAATTTTTTTTTCAGATGGAGTCTCTTATCACCAGGCTGGAGTGCAGTGGCATGATCTTGGCTCATTGCAAACTCTGCCTCCTGGGTTCAAGCAATTTTCCTGCCTCAGCCTCCCAAGTAGCTGGAATTACAGGTGCCTGCCACCCTACCCAGCTAATTTTTTTGTATTTTTAGTAGAGATGGGGTTTCATCATGTTGGCCAGGGTGGTCTCGACATCCTGACCTTGTGATTCGCCCACCTCGGCCTCCCAGAGTGCTGGGATTACAGGCGTGAGCCACCGTGCCCAGCCTATAATTTCTAATTTTTTCTCTGTTCAATTTTTACTGTGAAATTTATTTTTCCAGTGTCCTTTCCGTCAACTGCTGCGTTTTCTCTGTATGGGAGCGGATCAATTCAGTGTCTGTTTTACCGTCTCTCCTCATCTTCCCTTAGCCCGTGCTTCTCTCGTTTGTTCTTATTACACACGTAACCTCTCTCTGCCTTCCACTTCCTCCCATTAACAATCTCCTATTGAAGCCTCTTGAGTTCGTTAGTGAGCCTCTAAATTACCCTCTTATTAACGTCACCTTTGTCTTTTCCCGCTTGCAACGTAGTTTCTTCAGACTTTAACCTCACCACTTACATTTCCTTTCTAAATCTCTTTTCCTTTGCTAAACAAACCTCACCATTTAAGTGGCAAAGCATGGGATGGAAAAATGAATGTATGGAAACGACACCCCCACCCGTTGTATTAGAAAAAGTCGTATGGCTGGGCGAGTCCCTGGGCTTCTTGGGACCTCACTTTCTTATCTAGAAAAATGGGGCCGGGCGCGGTGGCTCAAGCCTATAATTCCAGCACTTTGGGAGGCCGAGGCGGGTAGATCACAAGGTCAGGAGATCGAGACCATCCTGGTCAACAAGATGAAACCCCATCGCTACTAAAAATAAAAATTAGCAGGGCACGGTGGCGTGCACCTGTAGTCCCAGCTATTGGGGAGGCGGAGGCAGGAGAATTGCTTGAACTCAGGAGGAGGTTGCAGTGAACCAAGATCGCCCCATTGCACTCCAGCTGGGTAACAAGAGCAAAACTCCATCTAAAAAAAAAAAAAAAAAAAAATTAACAGGTTGGCTTAGCAAGGGCTTTAAACTCAAAAGCTTCCAACTGAGTCCAGACAGATTATGTAAATGAATTAGAAGAGGCCAGGCAGGGACTGTGGGAAACTGGGGACTACCCGTGCAGAGGGCACGATCACTGCTCAGCTTTTTGTGCTGCCACGGAGAAATGCTGGCTGTGTAGGGTCCACAGATCTTCCAGTTGCCCAGCAGTAATCAGGAATCTGGACTTTTACAAAATGTGAGCTGTTTTATTATTCACATTATTTCATAGAAAAAGGAGTGTAGCAAACGGGTCAGAGTTGTACAAACAAAAAGAACCCAGGTTTATAGAGGTTGCATTATTTACGTCTGGGCACAGGGATCGTTATTTACATCTGGGAACAGGCATCAGGCACAGCAGCTGCGCTTGTCCGACGCCCCTTTGCAGATGCAGCCCTGGGCACGCTTGGCACAGCCCACAGGGCAGCAGGAGCAGCAGCTTTTCTTGCAGGAGGTGCATTTGCACTCTTTGCACTTGCAGGAGCCGGTGGCCCAGATGCAGGAGTCACCGGGGCGCAGGAGCAGTTGGAATCCATGGCGAGCTGAAGAGGCGGCTGGAGTTGGGACATGGCTGCACGGGAACTCGCTGGGACTTGAACTGCTTAAATGCAGACAACTGATTCAATTATGGACCAAACAAAACACATCACATTTGGCCCAAAGGCTGCCGTTTGTGGCCTTTCGATGAGATGGGGCCTTTTTTTTTGAGACAAAGAGTCTTGCTCTGTCACCAGGCTGGAGTGCAGTGGTGAAATCTCGGCTCACTGCAACCTCTGCCTCCTGGGTTCAAGCGATTCTTCCGCCTCAGCCTCCTGAGTAGCTGGGACTACAGGTGCGTAACACCACACTCGGCTAATTTTTTTTTAGTAGAGACGGGGTTTCATCATGGCCAGGATGGTCTCGATCTCTTGACCTCGTGATCTGCCCACCTCGGCCTCCCAAAGTGCTGCGATTACAGGCGTGAGCCACCACGCCCGGCCGAGATGGGGTCTCTAAGTTTCTCACAAGTCAAAAATTGGATGACTCCTTAGCAATACATTTTAAACCTAGCCAGTTCTCCCGTATTACATTCCCAACGTTGTTTCCTTGTCATTTGTATTTGTTGGGCTGTCAGTCTCCCACGTGAGCATCTGGAGTTTGTTTTTAGAAGAAAGTACAAATTCTTTTGCCTCTGCCTCTGACATAAAGTAACCGAATGTGTTGCTCCCAGACCCTTATCATCGGTGTCTGGAGAGTGTGTGTAATCTCCTAGGATGGCTGACTCTGGTGTGCACGCGGGTCCTGGAATAAATGGCCTTTTTGCAATGTGACACACATTCCTCTGTTCCTTTGTTTGGATGCACATTTTTAATCCTTTCACCTATTTCGTGTAATGTTAATTTGTAAATTAATCTAGGTAGGCTGGGTGCCATGACTCACGTCTGTAATCACAGCAGTTTGGGAGGCTGAGGCAGAAGGCTCACTTGAGGCCAGGAGTTTGAGACCAGTCTGGCCAAGATGATGAAACCCTGTCTCTACTAAAAATACAAAAATTAGCTGAATGCGGTGGTGCATGCCTGTAATCCCAGCTACTCAGGAGGCCAAGGCAGGAGAATGGCTTGAACTGGGGAGGCGGAGGTTGCAGTGAACTGAGATCACATCACTGCACCCCAGGCTGGGTGACAGAGCTAGACTCCATCTCAAACAAAAACAAACAAACAAATTAAAAATCAATAAGCTAGTCCCAGTAGGAGGAAACTCAACAATGAAAGAAACACTTGAGGCTCAGAAGCTCAGGGAAAGGAATGAATGATAAACAGTAAAAGACAGAGGAAGTACCTGACGATGACAGAAAGCCAAAGGACAGTCATTAACTTCTGTCATATCTCATTTAGTGACACCTTCCCCCAAAGGAGTTTCTTTGGTCATTCCCTACAGTGTAGCCTTCCTTGGGCCACGACGCTGCTGTCTGAGTTCCGCTCCACCTTCCCTCTTCTAAGAGCTGTTGAATTTGTTTCTAGTTAAACTGACTGGCTTGTGTTCTCTTTTTTATTACCCTTGGTCACACATGAATAGGCTCATCCTTTCCTCTGTCTACATGGACCTTGAGAATCTTTACCTTTCAGTGTTTCAGTGGAATTGACTATAAATTTCTAAATGACCCTCAAGGTTAGAAAAAGAGGCCAAACGCAGTGGCTCATGCCTGTAATCCCAGCACTTTGGGAGGCCAAGGCAGGAGAATTGCTTGAGCCCAGGAGTTTGCGACCAGCCTACATGACAAAGCAAGACCATGTCTCTACAAAAGTTTAAAAATTAGCCAGGCATGGTGGTGTATACCTGTAGTCCCAGCTACTTGGGAGGCTGAGGCAGGAGGACCACTTAAGGCCAGGAATTTGAGCTATGCTTGTATCACTGCCTGCCAGCCTGGGGGACATGAGATCCTGTCTCAAAAAAAAAAAAAAAAAAAAAAAAAGATTAGAAAGTGAATAAGGCTCAAGGGTCAAGGATCAATATTAAGAGAGAAAAACTCTCCCAACAAGTTAGCATTTCTCTAAGGTAGCAGGAAGTATTACTGACATAATTGGGTATTCACACATTTACAGAACTGGGAGACCTCTCTTAAACTACAAGTTCTCTATAAGAATCTTTAATTTCTTAATTTTCAGGATTATATAGAAATACATAATTTTTTTAAAAGCATGATCGGAGTCATTTTATAATCTTTTAACCAAGGACTAATGTGAAGTTTCAGGTAATTCATGTGTATTTCTGTTTATGATTGGACCACTGACAGCTATTCACCTGCATTATCATCTTTAACTCCTAATTCAGTACTTCTCAAGTATTTTCTTCGAGAAATCCTAGGGATTGCTGAAGAAATAATTGGTGTGTGATGAAGGGTATATGAATAGGCCATTCCAAAATATGCCTTTTTGTCATATACATTATTTTGAGCTAAAGCCAACTGAAAACTGTCTGATACAGGAAAAGCTCCCTATCTCCCTATGACTGCTTGAAAGTAGAGTATACATTTCCTCTTTTGTAAAGGAAATTTTAATTTGCAAAGGATGGGAGCTACTTTTTTTTTTTTTTTTTTTTTTTTGAGATGGAGTCTCATTCTAGGATTTGCCCAGGCTGGAATGCAGTGGTGCGATATTGGCTCACTGTAACCTCTGCCTCCTGTGTTCAAGTGATTCTCCTGCTTCAGCCTCCTGAGTAGCTTGGATTACAGCTGTGCCTCACACCCGGCTAATTTTTATATTTTTAGTAGAGACAGGGTTTCCTCATGTTGTTCAGGCTGGTCTCGAACTCCTGACCCCATGATCCACCTGCCTCAGCCTCCTAAAGTGCTGGGATTATAGGCATGAGCCATCACACTTGGCTGGCCTGGAAGCTACTCTTGGAGACAGCATTTAGCACTTGAGAGACTCTTGTCTGTTTAACAACACAATTCAAATTTACCATGTACTTCCTCCCCTCACCTTCCTAATACTTGCCTCCCTCACCCCGAAACCCCAAATCCCTTTTCTTTTGCTTAGCCTATGATGATACATAACCCTCAATCATCTGGCTGCCTCCTTGAGTCTCATTTCTTCGTGAACATACCATGCATAGGTATGTATGAAACTGTTTTTCTCCTGTTAGTCTGCCTTCTGTTGGCTTAAATTCCAGGGCCCCAGTTAGAAAACCTAAGAGGGTAGAAGAAAAATTATTTTTCTCCCCTACAATTGTTGGAACCAGTCCCTGAAATGAGATACTCTTAGATATTCTTTAACCCAGCAGGTCATTTTACCTCTAAATTTCCTCATCTCATTGGGATGCTAATAAGGTTTAAATAAAATCATGCTTAAAATGGACTCAGTCCAGTGCCTGGTATATAGAAATCTCTAAAAATAATGCCAGCTACTTCTACTCTATGATTGCTACTACCAGTGCAGGCTACTTTTTAAAGTCACCATTCTTGTTTTTGGTTCTATTTCTTGTCATATAAATTTAATCTAATATTTCAAAATAATACACGGACATAAGACTTAGGAGACAGAGTCGGTGGTTACTGATATGTTACAATTTGAGGTACCCTATGAGGAACTACTTAATACTATTAAAAAATTATTCCCCCACCACTAAAGTTCTGTAATTCAAGATTCAATCCTTATCTTCTTATATCAGAAACAGCTAGCTGTCTGCCAGAATTCATGCTTCCCCAATGGAGAATGGAGTTGTCACTGCAAACTGCTCAGACAAGGACTTCATTTCCCCACTCCTCATGTACCTGATGTGGCCTTCCTTCCTTCCTTCCTTCCTTCCTTCCTTCCTTCCTTCCTTCCTTCCTTCCTTCCTTCCTTCCTTCCTTCCTTCCTTTCTTCTTTCCTTCCTTTAGTTCTAACCCGTGGAATCTGAGCAGAAATGAGGTGTGGCATGTTCAGGTCAAGATTTAGGAAGAAGGTATACTTTCTCTATTCTTTCTCTTTCCACCAGCGAGATTCATTTACAGATTTGCTCTAGGGGAAGACTGAACCACAGGATGGAGGAAGACTAGATATTTGAATCACACTATAGAGGAAAGATGACCGCCAATGGGACAGATGCTTTGGGTGCTTAAAATAATGAGAAATAAACATCTATTAAGTTTGAGCCATACATTTGGGGTCTATTATCTACTGCCTCTAACATTACCCTAATTGATAAAAAAAATTGCTACCTTGAAAAAAGTACTGCTACAATAAATACCTAAAGTAACTATTACTCTCTGAACACTTGGGTAGCAGATAGCAAAAAAAAAAAAAAAAAGGAGATATTGGGTGCTAGAAAGATGGAGATCCGTGTTATGTCTTGGCAAAGCATTTTATTTTATTATTTTTTGAGAGTGAGTCTCGCTCTGTCACCCAGGATGGAGTGCAGTGGTGGGATCTTAGCTCACTTGCAACCTCTGCCTCCCAGGTTCAAGCAGTTCTCTTGCCTCAGCCTCCTGAGGAGCTAGGATTACAGTTGCCCACCACCGTGCCCAGCTAATTTTTGTATTGTTAGTAGAGACATGATTTTGCCACGTTGGCCAGGCTGGTCTCAAACTCCTGACCTCGTGATCCACCCGTCTTGGCTCCGCAAAGTGGTAGCATTGCAGGCATGAGCCACCGCACCTGGCCTTTGCAAAGCATTTTAAAAATCAAGTTTCTGATAACCTAAAAGACAGTATCCATTACTAGAACGGACCGATGACTGCCGTGTATTCACAGTTCTTCCCTTTCTTACTAGGAGCTTCTTTTTTTTTCATTTTATTTTTATTAAGCACTACATAACACACTGCATGCTACATAGTGCACTGTATGAACTTCCAGCAGGGGGCAATGGCCATAACAGTTGTTTTCTTCATCAATCAGGAAAATGCTTCCTTAATCAATGTTCTCCAAACCCTTTGACATGTAGTAACAATCAACTCCAGAGATGTGCCTATCTCTTTCCATCAAATCCCAGTGATACAAAAAATAGGCAGCTCTTTTTCCCTTGCCCCCATTAGTGAACCTGTGGATGTACAAAGTAGCCAGTCCTGGAATAAGCAAGCGCACGCCCATGGCAAAGAGTCTGGGGAGAATCTTGAACCACATCTCTGCCCCGTTACCTAGGCCCAAACCCTACTTCTGGGTCCTTCTTAATAGGAACTTCTGTTGTGGTTATCTTGTCCCTGTCTTATAATTACATATTAGAGGGGCAGGGAATTTTTAAATATGTTTGTATATCACCAAACTGAAGAGAGCTTTAGATGAGAAGACTCCATATCACCCAGAGATGCTGGACTTTGAGCTGTATGCACGAACTGGATCGGACTTCAGGGTATGTCTTTAGAATGAGGAAAGAAGGGTATATACAGATATTTGGTGAAAAGAACAAACTGAGGAAGAGGCAAAATTTCTCCTCCCTCTTCCATATTTTATTTTTTTATTTTTCATTTTTTGAGACGGAGTTTTGCTCTTGTTACCCAGGCTGGAGTGCAATGGCACGATCTCGCCTCACTGCAACCTCCGCCTCCTGGGTTCAGGCAATTCTCCTGCCTCAGCCTCCTGAGTAGCTGGGATTACAGGCATGCGCCACCATGCCCAGCTAATTTTTGTATTTTTAGTAGAGACGGGGTTTCATCTTGTTGACCAGGATGGTCTCGATCTCTTGACCTCGTGATCCACCCGCCTCGGCCTCTCAAAGTGCTGGGATTACAGGCGTGAGCCACTGCGCCCAGCCCCCTCTTCCATATTTTAAAACCAAATTTCATCTAGCCTAAGATTCCATTGATTGTAAAGCATGTGCTCTATCTGTACTACCAAGAAAGGAAAAATGCTGCCAACCAAATCTGAGTTTACCTTGAATAATAAACTTGCCATTGATTGACAATACATTCCTATTGAAGAGATATTAAAATGTGAAAACAAAGTGCAAATCCAGATTGATAAAAAACTAATTTTTCAGGCTTGGTGCGGTGGCTCAGGCCTGTAATCCAAGCACTTTGGGAGGCCGAGGTGGGCAGATCACCTGAAGTCCGGAGTTAAAAGTCCAGCCTGACCAATATGGAGAAACTCCATCTCTACTACTAAAAATACAAAATTAGCCCGGCATGCTGGCACATGCCTGTAATCCCTGTTACTTGGGAGGTGGAGGCAGGAGAATCGCTTGAATCTGGGAGGCAGAGGTTTCGGTGAGCTGAGATGGAGTCATTGCCCTCCAGCCTGGGCAACAAGAGCGAAACTCTGTCTCATAAAATAAAACATACTAACAGAGATACATTTCTCACACCCTTGCATCCCGCCGTTGCCTGGAGACTTGTTCTCACCAATAGTGGACTTGAAGGGTGTCACTTCCAGGCCAGGCTCTTTAAGATCTGGGTCACTTCTCCACACTTTCTTTTTTCCTCCCTGGCTGACCTCAGTTGACAGTGAGGTTTAGGAGATGGCAGAGCCACAGGGAAAACAAAAAAAAAACCCTTGATTTCTTGATTTCTGAATCACCAAATGGAGGAAAACCATCTACAGACCCAGATGGAGAAACACCTATCCGAAGTAAACTTTTATTTTATTTAAGGCATGTATTTTCAGTATTTATTTGTTACCACAGTTAATATTATCCTAATTAACACACTCTGTTGCTTGGGTTATTGTAAGAATTAAATTATCTTGGGAGGCCGAGGCGGGTGGATCACGAGGTCAAGAGATCGAGACCATCCTGGTCAACATGGTGAAACCCCGTCTCTACTAAAAATACAAAAATTAGCTGGGCATGGTGGCACGCTCCTGTGGTCCCAGCTACTCGGGAGGCTGAGGCGGAAGAATCGCTTGAACCCAGGCGGAGGTTGCAGTGAGCCGAGATTGCGCCACTGCACTCCAGCCTGGCGACAGAGTAAGACTCCGTCTCAAAATTAAATAAAATAAAAACAGTCAAAATTCTGTCTTTTTAGAGAAAATTAAATTTAGTCAATTCCTGGGAAGAGTAATGATTTGCTGTAAAGTCACTGGGTCAGTCACCAGTACTTTAGTATGAGTGAGTTGCTTTCTGTTTCAGCCAGGAAGAGGTGGGCCACTGTAGGAGTGAGACTGTGGATAGGGAGAAGGTGTGCAGATTCATCCGAAGATGCTTATTCAAAGGTAATAAATATATTTTGGACACTTGACACAAAGTCTCCTTCTCTGGAACTTAGCCCTGATAAGCCTCTGTTGAAGAGCTGAGCCAAAGTGGTCACTGATAAAATGTATCCTAGTGCCTCTGCCACAGCAGATGTAAACAGGGTTGTACACCTCACCCAGGCTGAGACAATCAACATCTTTTCTTTTCAACGTGAAACTGGCTCTCTGAAAGTTTGTGCTGGCTGCCGGGAGCCTATCTGTCACGTAGCATCATGTCTGGGGGCGGTTTTATGGCCCAACAAAAGTCACGTGCCGGGCCAAATCACAAGAGAGCAGAAATTCTGAATAAGTCAAGGGATCTGGTCTGCTGAGATAAGAATGGGGCAGATATTCAGCACAGAGCAAAGGAAAGAGGCCACGAGGCTGCCAGGACTTCTGCAGCATGGACCCCAACCCGACAGCTCACCAGTTCCCATCTGCAGCTCCCACGAGGCTGGACTGAATCATGTTTTCATGGTTCTGGTGTCCTTAAAAATAAACGTACTTTCAAAATATCTGAGCCAGCTGATTTAGTTTCTGTTTTTTTGATCAAGAACTTGGCGATGACTAAGTCACTAAAATAAAAATCTCCTAACCGTGCTTGTTACTTACTGTCACATAATAGCAATACCACCACAGAGTTCACCTCTGCCCAGGCGGAAGGGGTTATTTAAGCCCCTGCTACCACTGGAACTATGTCCTCCAATTTCCACTTTTTTTTTTTTTTTTTTTTGAGACAGAGTTTCGCTCTTGTTACCCAGGCTGGAGTGCAATGGCGCGATCTCGGCTCACCGCAACCTCCGCCTCCTGGGTTCAGGCAATTCTCCTGCCTCAGCCTCCTGAGTAGCTGGGATTACAGGCATGCGCCACCATGCCCAGCTAATTTTTTGTATTTGTAGTAGAGATGGGGTTTCACCATGTTGACCAGGACGGTCTCGATCTCTTGACCTCATGATCCACCTGCCTCCGCCTCCCAAAGTGCTGGGATTACAGGCTTGAGCCACCGCGCCCGGCCCCAATTTCCACTTCTAAGAGCTGGGATTTGATGTTCTTCTGAATAGTCTAATCTCCCAGAGATCATCTTAGGAGTTGTTTGAAGGATAGGATCACATTTTTCATATTTTTGCCACAAAAGATCAAATAGATCTTTAGATGTTGTCCTATCACAATTTTTCTTTTTGGTGGAAGATGGGTGGAAGGGGAGTGTTTTTTATTCCATTAGTAATACATGCCCATTATAGAAATTTTGATGATACAAACCTAAGTGTAAAACTTTTAAAAATCACAGTTTCTCCCCCAATATAGAACCATCAGTAATTTTTAGGACACAATCCCGACAATGAAGAAAAGGTAATCACATCCTGAATCGCCCTTGAGAATTCCTGTTATTTTGTTGGTTGCATTTCTTCATGTGCTCATAGACATTTTCTTCAAAGAATTTACGAAGGGCCGGAATTGGATTCACTGGGAAATGCATTTGGAAGCAGGCTTCTTCATTCTTTCCGATAACCAACAAATACATTTACTTCATTCAGCCTCCTTGTTCTTCAGGAAATGAAAAGAAATCATTATCTAATTGAGATATCCTGTATGTCATAGAGACAAGGAGATTTAAACCATGTCCCTAGTTCTTTACAGTCTGTCATCTGCCTTTTATCAGCAGTTTAACAAGCATATTCTTCACTTCCTAGCTGTCCGCTTGTATTTCCTGTTAAGGCATCACATCTAAAACGACTTCAATTCCCAAAGGCTCTGGAATCGTGTTTTTTTCTTTCCTCCTTATTTTGAGGTTTCATTGGGCTCACCACTGTTCATTTTCTTTTCTTTTCTTTTTTTTTAAATGGAGTTTCGCTCTGTCTCCCATGCTGGAGTGCAGTGGTGCAATCTCAGCTCACTGCAACCTCCGCCTCCCTGGTTCAAACAATTCTCCCATCTCAGACTCCCGAGTAGCTGGGACTACATATGTGAACCAACACATCCGGCTGATTTTTGTATTTTTTTTTTTTTTTTGGTAGAGACAGGGTTTCACAATGTTGGCCAAGCTGGTCTCAAACTGCTGACCTCAGGTAATCCTCCCACCTTGGCCTACCAAAATGTTGGAATTACAGGTGTGAGCCACCGCACCTCGCCTGTGTTCCTTTTCTAAAATGCAATATTTCATTTTGTCCTTTCTTTGGGATAACATTCATTATCTTCCTTGCTCTTATCATCATCCCTTGTTGGATTTAATTAGTCATTTCTTGTTTTATTTATAGTATTTTAGGAATGAATTATATGAGCCCATGTGACTCGCTCCTCACACCAGTGATTTATTGTTTGAGTGAAATTCTGCTCTTTTACTAATCAAGGTAGGAGTGTATCTTTGAGTTTTAGAGGTGCTTTGCCTTCCTTCACACACAAGATTTTTACAATTAGCCACATTTCCCTCTGTTTTCCACTAATAAAAGGGATTTAGTCCAAATATGAAATTTCTTAAAATCTGTTCACCCTCCACTGTGGTTTTCTGTTTTCTGAGTTTTTCACTGTGAATTTCAAGTTGTTTTGGAGGGGCCGTTTAGGAGGATAACGTTCTCTTGACTGGTTGCCAGCATTCCCATTCTGCTTAATCATTATCATTTTTTTAATGGGTAAAAGATTCATACTTCACTTTTTTTTTTTAAGACGGAGTCTTGCTCTGTCGCCAGGCTGGAGTGCAATGGCGCAATCTTGGCTCACTGCAACCTCCACCTCCCGGGTTCAAGCGATTCTTCCACCTCAGCCTCCTGAGTAGCTGGGACTACAGGCGCGTGCCTAATGCCCAGCTAATTTTTGTATTTTTAGTAGAGACAGGGTTTCACCACGTTGGCCAGGATGGCCTCGACCTCTTGACCTCGCGATCCACCGTCTCAGCCTCCCAAAGTGTTGAGATTACAGGTGTGAGCCACTATACCTGGCCCATACTTCACTTTAAAAAAATTTTTAATTTAATTTATTTTTTTAAAACAGGGTTTCACTGTGTTGGTCAGGCTGGTCTTGGACTCCCGGCCTCAGGTGATCCGCCCACCTTGGCCTCCAAAGTGCTTGGATTACAGGTGTGAGCCACTACACCCCGCCCATACTTCACTTTTTATGTGAAGCTTTTGCTAAAGTTTTGTCATACTAGAGATTATCTACTTAATCTGATCACACTTGACTGCCAACCATTATAACTGAGATTCAGAGCTAGGACAAGTAGAATACAGGAGAGTCCTTCCATACTCAGCGAACAAATACTTATGGGATTCCTACTGGGTGTTGGACACGGTTCACTTTGAACAGGGTGGACACCATCCCTGCGCTCATGGAACTCAGGGTCAAGTGGGGAAGGTGAGCAGGCAATACCCTGCATTAGCATCTGTGACTGGGGTAAGCACAGTGTTGGAGGGGCATGGACCAGGTGGGAATGACAGAAAAGGGATATACGTGCTGAGACTTGAAGGACTAGAAGAGGGAGGCAGAGCGGAGGGTATTCTTGAACCCGGGAAGTGTAGGTTGCGGTGAGTTGAGATCAAAGCACTGACTACATCCCAGCCTGGAAGACAGAGCGAGACTCTGCTCCCCCCAAAAAAAAAGAAGAAAGAAAAGAAAAGAAGATGAACAGAGGTGAGCCCAATGAAACCCCAAAATAAGGAGAAAAAAGCAAAACAAGATTCCAGAGCCTTTGGGAATTGAAGTCATTGTAGATGTGCTGTCTTAACAGGAAATACAAATGGACAGCTAGGAAGTAAAGAATATGCTTCTATTAAACTGTTGAGAGAGGAGTGGAAACCAAATCAAAGCAGCATTGGAAGGGGTGTTCGGAGAACTTGAAGGACTCTATGCAACTGGTGATGGTGTGTGTACATTGTGGTTGTGGACGGTTTTGGGGAGAAGGGAAAGATGCTACCAGGTCATGAGTTGTTGGTGTGCCGTGCTGAAGAGTTTGCGCTTTACCCTGTGAAGGCTGAGAAGGCACTGAAGAATGTTTTGTAGACTTGTAATGGTCAGGTTTTGATTTCTAAGAAGTGTTCTGGCAGTGCAGAGTGATGCCACGGCCCAGTAGCTTCCTTCTCACGTGTGTAGAGGGGGTTTCTGCCTGGACTGAGGCTCGCACTAGTGTAGGGGGTCAGCACCACCCACCAACATTTGAACATTCACCTCTTTTTCCTCCTTTCCTTTTCTCCCCCTTCCTTCTCCTTCTCTCCTTTCTATCCCCACCTTCTCTCAATCATTTTCTTGGAAAAGTCTTAAAACTTGAACAGTTCATAGGCAGGTTAAAAAAAAAAACGTCAGTGAAAACTTTCCAACTGTGGATGTCCTGTCTTCCTAGTTGTGGATGTCCTTTCTCTCTAGTTAATGTTAAATTACTTACTGGCAGAATTTCCTCTCATGGATGCTCAAAGCACTTAATTTCCCGTTCTCTACTTGTAATTCTTTATCACTGCCCATTATCACCCATGACATAGAAAGGGAGAAAATAGAATTTCAAGTAAATTGATTGTACTATTGACTTGTGGTTCTTGCAGAGAGTTTATTGGTAGAATAGGAAAACTGCAAGTGATCTTCATGTTTTTTAACCTGTAGATTGTGACCCATGCATAGGTTATTAAATCAATGTAATGAGTTATGACCTATACATATTTTTAAAAACAGGACATAATCTAATAGACTAGAAAATATCAAAGTGCACTGAATATACTGAGCATCAATATTGTCTTGCAAAACTTTTGTTTCAGTCATGAGCATATATGTTTACCGATGCAGATAATAAAAAAATATGTCTTACTGTGTGGGTGGTAACAACAGCAACATGATAGCAAATGAAAAAAAATAAGATTGGGCATAGTGGCTCATGACTGTAATCCCAGCACTTTGGGAGGCTGAGGTGGGTGGATCACAAGGTCAAGAGATCAAGACAATCCTGGCCAACATGGTAAAACCCCGTCTCTACTAAAAATACAACAATTAGCTGGGCATGGTGGCATGCACCTGTAGTCCCAGCTACTCAGGAGGCCGAGGCAGGAGAATTGCTTGAACCCAGGAAGCAGAGGTTGAAGTGAGCCAAGATTGAGCCACTGCATTCCAGCCTGGCAACAGAGTGAGACTCCCGTCTCAAAATAAATAAAATAAAATAAAATGACAAAGCAAGTTGAAAACCCCTGTCTAAGGTTAACCGTTTTCCACTGTGAAGATGGAGGAAGCTGAGAACTAGAGAAAGTGACTTGTCCACGCCCAGAAATTAGTGGCAGTTGCAAGAAGTTTAATTCAGGTATCCCAACAGTCTGATGTTTTCTGAACAAAAGTTGACTAATTGCCTAAATGGAGGACTAGAGATTGTGCAATTAATTTACTTAATTTGTCCTTTAGCTCACGTTGTGAGAGAGAGTCAAATGTTCACCACACTTAGTTATCTCAGCAGTTATTAGAACACACAGCATGCTTCTGTTTTGGTATTGCATCACAGCTGAGCATTGGATTTTGATAGGTGGTCAGTTTATGCCTTTATTCTTAAATTCTTTTTTTGTGGGAAGCTTTGATATGTACAGTCGGCCCTCCATGTGGGTGGGTTCTGCTTCTGTGAATTCAACCAACCAAGAAATGAAAAATATTTGGAAAACAATATTCGACAAACTTTCAAAAAGCAAACGAATGTGCTGTATGCCAAGTGCTACATTGAATCCATGCAAATGAAGTGGGGTGTAGACTTTGTATTAGACATTAGGAAGAATCTAGAGATGATTTAAAGTAAACGAGAGTATGCGGAGGTTGTAGGCAAGTCCTACGCCACTTAATTTAAGGGATGTGAGCACCTGTAGATTTTGGTATCGGGCAAGCCCTGGAACCAGTCCCTCATGGATACCAAGAGACAACTATATTCATGCTCATGTTTATGAATAAGGATAATCTAGTATTTGATTTTTTTTTTTTTTTTTGAGACGGAGTTTCGCTCTTGTTACCTAGGCTGGAGTGCAATGGCGCGATCTCGGCTCACCGCAACCTCCGCCTCCTGGGTTCAGGCAATTCTCCTGCCTCAGCCTCCTGAGTAGCTGGTATTACATGCACGCGCCACCATGCCCAGCTAATTTTTTGTATTTTCACCATGTTGACCAGAATGGTCTCGATCTCTTGACCTCATGATCCACCCGCCTCGGCCTCCCAATGTGCTGGGATTACAGGCGTGAGCCAGCGTGCCCAGCTAGTATTTGATTTTTAAGTGCTAAATAATTATTTTGATTCTTTCATATTCCTTAACCATCTTGAAAAATGATAATTCCAGGCTGTTCACAGGGTTTTTGCCTGTAGTCAGGGAACTGTTTGGTCGACCTTTGGAGGCTCCTCCAGCCTTGAGATTCAATTACATTTACCTTTGCTATCAGTTTAGATTTTCTCTTCGATTTTCCAAGATATTAAACATTTCTCTTTTCTTCACATAGTATTTTATAACTCAATTTCAGGAAGGTATTGTGGCATAACAAAGAACGCTAGAATGGGAATCGAGAATCTTGGGCCTTGTCACCTCATTTATTGTGTTTGCATTTTAGCAGGTTCAGATGTTTTGTTCCCATAACATCTTTGGGCCTTGATGTCTTCATTTGAAAACGGAGGAAGTGAGTCTAGATTATCTGTAGACTCATCTGTTTCTGCAATTAATTAGTGTTTCTAACTATGTAAAGGGTATGAGTTCCTTTTCAAATACAATAGAAACTATTGCTTAGAAAGTTGCACATGCAGATATGGAGACATGCTTTGTATACAATTTTATGAGTGCTCCTGGATTTTTGTAAGCCATTTAGAGGTTCATGGTTTCAAAACCTTGCTTTAAATAACTCCCTGTTTGCCATACTATGGGACAGATTCTCTAGCTTTTCTATTCTGAACTTCCTAAGGAATTCCTACTTTTGCTTCCTTCCTGTTCCTTTGCACTTCCTTAAAAATATACTCCATGGTTCAAGGACTCTTAGAGCTGGAAGGAAACTTGAGAGAGACAGGCCATTCATCTAATTTCCTTCCAGTCCGTTATCTTCCTTCACACATTAGCATCATTCATTTGTCCATTCAGTAACTCCACAGTGTTTTTACTTCAAATAGTGATGTAGAAAATACCACCTTAAAATCTGCACGGTGGCTTTCACCTGTAATCCCAGCACTTTGGGAGGCTGAGGCAGGCAAATCACCTGAGGTCAAGAGTTCAAGACCATCCTGGCCAACACAGTGAAACCCCATCTCTACTAAAAGTACAAAACTCAGCCAGGCGTGATGGCACATGCCTGTAATCCCAGCTACTTGGGAGGATGAGGTGGGAGAATTGCCTGAACCTGGGAGGCAGAGGTTGCAGTGAGCCAAGATAGTGCCACTGCACTCCAGCCTGGGTGATAGCGAGACTCCATCTCAAAAGAAAAAGCTATTTCTCATATAAGAGCCCTTAATTCATTCATCCTACAAGTATTGAGCATCTCCTTGGGTCAGGCACTGAGCTCCATGCTGAGGCTGTAACGGTGAGGAAGACAGACACTGTCCTTGTCTCCATAGGCTTACATTCTCCTGGAGACAGAAACGAAAAAGAAGTTATCAAAGAAATGAATAAAACTACTTCAAACTGTGATCACTATTGTGAAAGAAACACACACAGAGTGGAAGGGAAGAATTACAAGGAGGAAGTCCTCTTTTACAGAGTGGTCAGGAAGGCCTCTCTAGAAGGCAACACTTAAACTGTGACTAAAAGATAAGAAATGTTTGCCACACAAAAGAGGAAGAAAAAGCATCCGCACAGAGGGACTCATGCATTAAGGTCCTGTGGCAGGAAAGGATGGAGTGGAATTTAGGAACTGAAAGAACAAGCTCCTGAAGCTTTGTGAGGGAGGAAAAGAAGTTGCAAGATGGAGTTGGACAGATGGTAGGGGCTAGATCATGCAGGATACTGTAGGGCATGGTAAAGGGTTTGGATCTTATTCTGCAAGGCAGCGTATCAGAGCAATTTTAAATGTATGGGCTTTGAGGCCAGGCTGCCGGCGTTTGTACCCCAGCTTGATTCCTCACTGCCTGTATGTGTCAGCCACTTGTGCACTACTTCAGGTCCTCTGGCCTCATGCGTCCTGAGGGTATTTAGCTACTTGCTCTGCTCCAGTGGTCAGTGTGACAGGCAGCTCTGCCTGGGTTCTGACGGGCTTCATGTGGACTAACCTGGTAATCCCTGCCTTATGCCCTGTCACACCTACTGTCTTTTGCCTAAGTGCAATCCTCCTGGTGCAAAGGTCTGCCTGTGGGCACAAGTGCAAGGGAGGCAATGCCCCATGGAGTAAATCTCTGACCAAAGAGTGAGAGATGCCGGTGAATAAATTCTTCTTCTCCTCTACCCAGACGGAATGTCCAGGGTAGCAATGGTAATGCAAGACCAAGCAATCATATGTGCTTAATGCCATGCTGGGGTCTTTTCTTGAAAATGGTGGTCCTTCTCTGCCTGACTCCCTCCTGCATTTCTGAGATTGCAATCCCCAACAGAGGAGCGGCACATATATATTTATCGGGGCTCCGCTTTCTGGGAAATCCAGGTTAAGACAGGCATCCTGAATGAACCACCTCCCAGTGCCTCAGTTTCCTCATCAGATAGATATAAATTATGATAACAGCACCTGCCTCATAGAATTGAATATTATATACATTAATCTGTGTCATGTTGTTAGTATAGTGCCTGACACATGGTATGTGCCACAAGTGTGCTGTTATCATTATAATTTATTCTAAGAGAAATGGGGAGTCATTGAACTTTAAGGAGAATATCCCAGCCATCAGAAAATGTTTGATAGACATTTTAATACTTTCTTTCTTATACCTGTATGGGAAATAAATTGGAAGAAGACAAGAGCAGAAGTGGAGGGACATTTTGGAAGAAGTTGCAATAGCCAAGAGAAGAGATCTTACTCACCTGGAACAGAGTATTAGCAGTGGAATCCAACAGACGTGGACAGATCCAAGAAATGCTTTGGAGGTAGAACCCATAGAAGTGAATAGATTGGATGGAGAGTAAGCGAAATGGAAGGCCACTTAAAAATATATGTTACTCTTCCTGCCGTGAGAATAGTATGTTCTAAATCCAGCAGTTTTTCTTAAGATTTCTCCCCATCTATATGCCATAGACTAATATTTTCTTTTCATCTTTGTTGTCTTTGTTGAAATTCTTACCTTGCTCTTCACTCACACATCTCAAGGCTACAACCAACAGGATATTGTCTACCACCTGTTTTTAACCTGCTGCCCCCTCCTGTGGCCCTAGTGATGAAATCTTAAAACAGCAAGATACAAGTCTTCATCTTGTGCTCCCTCAACTTCCTGCCTTCTCCTCCCTACTCCTCAACTCAACCATCTGCTCTAACCCGTTCCAGCAAACTCACTAGGCGGGCCCATCACTCACCCTCATATTTTGCATCTATATTCTCAACCTATTCTTGGAATGCCCTTCATTCAAATTGGCTAAATTCTTTCTCCAACTTTACTCATTAAATCCTGACTCCCTCACTTATCACAACAGAAGTAAGTGGAACAATGATTCTTGACTTCTCAAGGCAATCCTGCTTAAGCCAATTCCCATGCACCTTTTCTTCAGTCACTGCCAATTGACCCTTCCACCTGTTCAGGCTGAAAAACTTGGAATGCATCTATATACTTCCGTTTCTCTTACACCTCACATCCAGTTTGTCAGCAAATCCTGTTGTTTTTACCTGCAAACCATATGCCAGATCCAACCACTTCCCATGAACACCGCTCCCACCCTGGTACAGGTCTCCTCCTTTCCCCTGGATTATTTCAGTGGCCTTTCACTTCTCTGAGCTTTCTGCTCTGAGCTCGCTCCCTGCAGTCTGCTCTCAACACAGTGGCCTGAGTTATTCGGAACCATTCAGATCATGTTGCTCTTCTGCTCAACGTCTTTCAACAGCTCCCCATCTCACCCAGAGTAACCGAGACAGCCAGGTGGTAAAGTCCCCCAGCAGAACCTGTGACCTTCCGGCACTGGGAGGAATGTGCACTGGGAGGAATGCACACGGAGGTGGAGCCTCGGGAGGTTCCGCCTCCCCCCTCCACGCCGTGCCATTCCCAGTGGGGAGGAGCCTGGACCCTCCTGGTCCTTGATGGTACCTGGGATTCAATCTGGGAGGCGGAAAAACTGGCTAGCAGGACTCTCGCTCTGCCGAGAGTTCGTTTCCGCTCCCCGCCCCCCGCCTTTTTCCCTTTTTGCCCAATACATTCCATTTTTCTGACCCTTCAAATTGTATGCGAACCGACTCTCTCATGGCCTTGTGACAAGAACCTAGCTTTCAGCTGAACCAAGGAGAAAGTCCTACAACATAACATCCAGTGTCTTTGGTGGCTCTCCCACCCCCTCTGGCCCATTTACTTCTGATCTTTTTTATTAATTTTTTTCTGTCACCAACCTCTGCCCCCTTATTCCTCTGTGGCCACCTTGACCCCCTTGCTGTCTCCTGCGCACACTAGATGTGCTCTCACCTCAGGGCCATCTGCTCTCTTCCTCTTGGTGGGCATGGGATTCCCCAGGTCTCCACGTGGATGGCTCCCTCACTTCCTTCAGGCTCAGATGCCACCTTCCCACCATCGTCTATGCTCACCACCCGGGACAGTCTCTATTTCCCTTCCCTAGGCTACTTTTCTCCAGGACACATTCTATCTTATTATGGACATTAACCCCAGATGTAAAGCACGTGGTTCCCATCTTCTGTCCCTCCATTCAGTTCGTAATCAGTCAAAATTCTTGAGGTGGTAGGTTGGGCAGGGGAGTAGCAATTGTGGGTGGGGAGGACTTTAGAAGTGACTTCCTCCTGATAATCTGAGATTTTTACCAGTTTAGTGTCTATCACTTGTGTATATCGTTTGTTTCACTTTTTTTGTGTGATTTTTGTGACGTCAGCAACTGAAAAATACCATTCTACATGATCTCCGCAATGATATAATCCCAAATTTGACCCAAGTGACTTTTTGCAGCCCTCTTTGCTTTTACTAGTTCATTGAGGACAGGTATTATGATCTTTTTATCTGCTGTATCTCGGGTACTGAAAACCCTCTTGGCACACCGTATGCTGTGCTGCCAATAAGCATTTGAATTAGTATTGAATTAGTGATGGCTCATCCTCTCTCTATATATTGTACGTGATTCTCCTGCTCTCAGAAACTAATAATAGAAACATTTGCTTAAGCGTAGTGTTAACACATCACTTCGTTAACAAGTCCATAACCACAAATTTATAATACCTTCCATTTACATAACACTTTGCAGACTCTAAGATACCTTCATATACATTGTCTTATTTAATCCTCACAACAACTTTATATTCCAGTTTTTCACAGGAAGCTGAATCTGAGAGAAATGGAGTTTTTCATTCACAGCCGCAGGAAACTGAACCAGAGAAACTGAGTGATATGTTCAGAGTCTCCCCAAGGGAGCCAAGATTCAAACACAGGTTTTTCTGAGCAGAAATCAGATGCAGTTTTCACTCCCACATCCCTACTCTCTGGTTCTGTATTGGATCAGTTGCCTATGTCTTCTCTGACTCTGTATCAGTAACATCTTCCTAGTGCCCTTGGCCAGCGAGGTTCAGGACTCAGAATCCAGTTGATCAGGTTTGTTTCAGATCCTAGAAGCTGTGTGAACCTAGCAAAATTAGGCTGGCTGAATGGCTCTACTTGGTAGAAAAACCGAAATAAGTTTGTCTAAAAACAAATGTTTTCTTTTCTTTTTTTGAGACGGAGTGTTGCTCTTGTTACCCAGGCTGGAGTGCAATGGCGCGATCTCGGCTCACCGCAACCTCCGCCTCCTGGGTTCAGGCAATTCTCCCCCTCAGCCTCCTGAGTAGCTGGGATTACAGGCACGCACCACCACGCCCAGCTAATTTTTTGTATTTGTAGTAGAGACGAGGTTTCACCATGTTGACCAGGATGGTCTAGGTCTCTTGACCTCATGATCCACCCGCCTCGGCCTCCCAAAGTGCTGGGATTACAGGCTTGAGCCACCGTGCCCGGCCCCAAAACAAATGTTTTCAATGCAATCTATCTGCAAACATTTTGATATAGTTTCAGGCTATGAATGCCTGGAACAAAAGACTCGAAAACTCAGTCTATACAGAGTTGTATGCAGACAGGGGCTTAACTACGTTCTGGTCAAACCATTTAAATAAGTCATCCCATAGCCTTAAAATTACCACGGTCCTCTCAAAGGAATAGTTTTTCTTATTGATTCTCAGTTCTAAGAATGCAAGCCCTGTCTTTTAAGGACCGCCCAAATTCTTCTTTTTTTTTTTGTGAGATGGAGTTTCACTCTTGTTACCCAGACTGGAGTGCAATGGGGTGATCTCGGCTCACCACAATCTCCGCCTCCTGGGTTCAAGCAATTCTCTTGCCTCAGCCTCCCGAGTAGCTGGGACTACAGGCCTGTGCCACCATGCCCAGCTAATTTTTGTATTTTTAGTAGAGACGGGGTTTCACCATGTTGACCAGGGTGGTCTCGATTTCTTGACCTCGTGATTCACCTGCCTCGGCCTCCCAAAGTGCTGGGATTATACGCTTGAGCCACCGCGCCCGGCCCAAATTCTTAAATAAATGGCTATTGAGTATCTACTGCAAGAAAGGCACAAAGCTATTTCTTCCCTTCCTGTTCATTCATAAGCAAATATTTCACTTTCTTGGGGTGTCTTTGTAGGCTATCATCGCTCTTAGTCATCCATCCTCATTCTTCTCTCCCATCTTCCGTAGCTCGTTCCTGCACACAGAGAAGTCATTATTATTAAGGGTCCACTCTGTGTTTCCTTCTCTTGCAGCTTCCTTACTTTAACTGCACTGCTTAAAGTTCAAACCCCATGTCTTTTCACTATCACAGATTGCAAATCGTCAAAGCCTGGTGACTAAGGGAAGGGAGAGGAATTCCATTCGCGATTTGGTTCGGAGAAAGGGAGCAGATGTTATCAGATGCCCCATTTTCATGTCAGACAAATAACATGACTCAAACTGGTTCAGGTGCAGCCTTCATAGATCAGAGAGAAGATGAACTGCTGACTTGGCAAAGAGTCACAAATAAACGTTGACTTTGGTTTGGCACCTATAATTATACCTAAGCCATAGCTTGCATTTTGATTATCTCTTAGAGGAAAAAAGGAAAAAAAAAAAAAAAAGACAAGAAAGAAGGAAAAAAGGAAGGGAGAGAGGCTGGAAGATGTTTTTTTTCTTAGTGGGACAGAATCAGGCATTCAATTTTCTCCCAGAATTTATTTTGAACTGGGACTTCGCTGACGGAGGAAATCCATGAGAATGGTAAGATAGAAAATGATGCAATTACCTAGATTTTATAATAAGTCTCTCACAGATTCCATTGAAAGCATTAATTCCAACACTGAATTAAGATGTGAAGTAATAGGAGAAACAAACCCTCTTTCTAAATATACATATCAAATCAGTTTAACAGATGTTTGGTGAAAACTTACTAGGTAATGTTTGGTATTAATAGTTAACAGAGAAGAGTTTCTGTCCTCAAGAAGTTTTATAGCCTAAAAGGAAAATAAGACATGTTAAAATAACTGTAGTATAAAGCAAAATGCTTTGGTAGAGGCATCAAGTGCTCTAGAAGGAAAGAAAATGTCGTTAGCTGATGCTTGAGAGATTTTAGGTTTCATAGAGGTGGCATATTGCCAGGCACGGTGACTCACGCCTGTAATCCCAGCACTTTGGGAGGCTGAGGAGGGCAAATCACTTGAGACCAGGAGTTCCAGACCAGCCTGGGCAACATGGCGAAACCTTGTTTCTACTAAAAAACAAAAATTAGCTGGGTGTGGTGGCAGGCTGTAATCACAGCTACTTGGGAGGCTGGGGTGGGAGGATCCCTTGGACCTGGGAGGAGGAGGTTGCAGTGAGCCAAGATCGAGCCACTGCACTCCAGCGTGGGTGACAGAATGAGACTCTGTCTCAAAAACAACAAACACACAAACATTAAAAAAAAAAAAAGAAATGGCATTTTAAGAATGCATAGGATTTGTATTTCTGGTAGGTGGAGAGAAAATTGTAAGCACAGAGGCAGGAATGTTCAGGAAATATTTAGTGATGAGTGAGTGGTCACGTTTGCCTGAAGGATATACTGAGAGACGGAGTGGGAAAAAAAGCAAATGCCAGAATTCCATTTGATTTTCATTTTTATTCTGTGGGTTCTAGGGAGCCACTGAAGGCTACTGAAGAGAAGGCTGACACATTCCTTCTTTCTTTTGTTTTTGAGAGAGTCTCACTCTGTCGCCCAGGCTGTAGTGCAATGGTGTGATTTCGACTCACTGTAACCTCCTCCTCCCAGGTTCAAGCGAATCCCCTGCCTCAGCCTCCCAGGTCCCATGTAGCTGCTATTATAGGCACCTTCCACCATGCCTGGCTAATTTTTGTATTTTTAGTAGAGATGGGATTTTATCATGTTGGCCGGGTTGGTTTTGAACTCCTGACCTCAAGTGATCCTCCTACCTCGGCCTCCCAAAATGTTGGGATTACAGGTATGAGTCACCGCGCCTGGCCATATTCAGTCTTTTAGAAGCTTTTTGTTTTTAGACAGAGTCTTGCTCTGTTTCCCAGGCTGGAGTGCAGTGGTGCGATCTCTGCCTCCTGGGTTCAAGTGATCCACTACATCAGCCTCCTGAGTAGCTGGGACTATAGGCGCATGCCACCATGCCTTTTTAAGAAGCTTTTTGACAGCAATTGGAGGATGTTTCAAGAATGCAACATTAGAGTTTGGGGATATGGTAAGGAAGCCATTACTGTAACCCAGGGCCTGGGCTAGGTGAAGTGGATGGGACACATATGGAGGATGTCTATGAGGAAGAATCCACAGAATTTGGCAGCTGATTAAATCTTTTCCTATTTGGTCAGGACAAGGGGAGGCATGGGTGAAAAGTGAAAAACTTTTTAGTTTGGACTTTGTAAATGATGAAAACCCAATGTGGCTCATTAAAAGGAAAAAAAGGGAAAATATATTTGCAAAGTCAGATGACAAACCTAACTACAGATAAAGCCAGGTAGGGACAATTAATCAGGGTCTCAGGTGTCATTCTTCCTCCATATCCCCTTTCTGAATGTGGCTTTATTCTTCTCTGCAGAAGAGATTCTCTCCAAGCTTGAGGGTCACGTCCACAGTTGTTTCAGGAGTTACGTTCTTCTAGCTGAGGGACTCAAGAAGAATGGGATCTTCTCTTGGGCCAGTCTGAAGGTTACCAGAGAGAAACTGATGGGCTGGGGCCAAATATACAGCCATTGCACTAGTCACTGGACCTGGCAATGAGGTACTGTTTCTGGCAGACCCCATGAAAATCAGGTTGGGAGCAAAGGAAGGCATTATAGTCACGGTCACACGGGAACTTCTTGTGAGTTGAGGAACCACCTGAGCTATCCCAATGTGGGGACAGTACAGAGGAGTTTAAATTATGATTGGAGTTCTAGGCCATTATGTTTGGAAAGACAGTGATATCTTTAACAGTGAGAGAAATAGATTCGAGTAAAATGCTGAAATTTATTTTAGACATCTTATTTTTAAGGTGGCATCAGACTATCCATGTGGGGTTGTGTAGGAGGCCCTTAGAAATTGGGGTCTTCAGCTCTTAGGGGAGGTTGGTTTTAGAACTGTAGATTTTGGAGTCATTAGCATATCACTTATGATGATGCTAAATGGATAAAACTGCCCAGAGAGAAAATATTCAAATAGAAAAGAGTAGAAGGCAGAGTCTAGGAAATTTACATCATTTGGCCGGGCGCGGTGGCTCACGCCTGTAATCCCAGCACTTTGGGAGGCCGAGGCGGGTGGATCACGAGGTCAAGAGATCGAGAGCATCCTGATCAACAAGGTGAAATCCCGTCTCTACTAAAAATACAAAAATTAGCTGGGCATGGTGGTGCGTGCCTGTAATCCCAGCTACTCAGGAGGCTGAGGCAGGAGAATTACTTGAACCCAGGAGGCGGAGGTTGCGGTGAGCCGAGATCGCACCGTTGCCCTCCAGCCTGGGTAACAAGAGCGAAACTGTCTCAAAAAAAAAAAGAAAAGAAAAGAAAAGAAAAAATTTACATCATTTGCATGGTGGTTCTGAAAAGGACAAAGTAACATCCGTCTATTGCCTTTGGTCAACCAGGGCTGGGATTCACAATCCAATTCAACAGTTTTGCTTCGGATCTTATGAACTATGCTAACCTAGCAAACTGGGGCTGACTGAATGGCTCTACCTGGTTGAAAAACCAGGATTAGGTAGTCTAAAAATGGGTGTTCTCAATGCAACTCATCTGCATACATTCTGATATAGATTCAGGCTATAAGTAGATTGAGAAGGAGCTATCAAATAACAATATCCAAGAGAGAAATGGGTAAGAAAGTGTAAAAAGTCACTGAGTGTTCTGTAGTTCTTTTCTTGTCTTCTTTATCAAGTCAACAAGTTATCTCTTAAGTATCTATTATAATCCTAGATAGGGCATTGAGCGAGATAAAAAAGAAACAGAAGACACAGATCTTGCAAACTCTCAGGAATGGGCAAAGCAATGGTGGGCTGTGAGACTGTGCTGAGGCAGGGAATAAAATGCCTTCGGGCAGCCAGAACTGAATATTTGGCTCACTTGCTTCCACTGGTGTATGCACCAGAAGTTGCAATAAACCAATACAAGGAAGCCAGGTGTGGTGGCATTCACCTAGAGTCCCAGCTACTCAGGAAGAGAGAGAGAGAGAGAGAGAGACAGAGAGAGAGAATACAGGGAAGAACTGACTGGTAGCCTACGGGAGCATTTGCTTGTTAGCTTATTTTAATGATTATGCATGGGACATAGTTTCAAATTAATAAATAATTCTATACTCTCAAAGGATGATTACTCTCATGGCTTGAAACAACATTAAGGTTAAAAATATCAGATAATGATCGTCATTATTTTATTTCAATTAATTAATTTTTTTGGAGACAGTCTTGCACTGTTGCCCAGGCTGGAGTGCGGTGGTTTCAGCTCACTGCAACCTCTGCCTCCTGGACTCAAGCGATTCTCGTGCCTCAGCCTCGCAGCTGGGACTACAGGTACCCACCACCACACCCGGCTAAGTGTTTGTATTTCAGTAGAGACGTGGTTTCACTGTGTTGCCCAGGGTGGTCTCCAACTCCTGAGCCCAAGCTGGCAGTATAGGTGTGTGCAATCATGCCCAGCTAATTTTTGTATTTTATGATAGAGACGGGGTTTCACCATGTTGGCCAGGCTGGTCTCAACCTACTGACCTCAATGGATCTGCCTACCTCGGCTTCCCAAAGTGCTAGGATTACAGGCATGAGCCACAGTGCCTGGCCTGTCATTATTTTAAAGAAAGTAATTTCCTTGTCAGTTTGGGCAATGTATATATTTTTGCTGCTTATCTTTCCTTTTTTCAAGGTGGATTTCCTCAGTAATGGGCAATTGATTGGTAAGAGGTGTCATCGAGAGGTGGAAGGAGCACTGTGTAAGAGGGAAACCGGGATGTTAGCTCTGATCAGCTTGTCTCCCTCTCTGCCTCTGCCCCCATTGCACACATAAGCCTGTGTACCCCACTTTATAACTTTAAGTAAGTTGCTTCGTTTCCGTGTTTCAGTTGCCTCAATTAATAAATGAGAATAATAGCATATCATTGACTCAAGGACAGGAACTATACAGGTGATTTCTTGAGCTTCTGTCTATCTTAAAAAATGGAATTCTGTGATTATAATCATTCCTTTATGCTGTGTGTGTGCAAGGGATACCAAG